GTCATTGAGCGCATCAACACCGAGGACCTGAGCGTGTCCGTCACCCCGCCCAGAAGCACGCCCGTCGGGGGCTTCAAGTGGATCTTGAGCGTACTTTTTTTTTTTTCTTTTTTTTTTTGTGTCCTCATTCTCTTCTTTCTTTGTATTCATTGCACTTTATTCTGTTTCAGGGAGTACTTGTTATTTTTTTTTGTTTTTTTCTCTCTTCTCTTCTGTTTATGTGGTTATTCATCGGGTTTCCTTCTGTATCCGTTGTTTTTTAAGGAATGTGTAAGTACGTGTTCTTGTGGAGTGAGTTTTTTTTTTCTTCTTTTTTATGCTTATTCTCAGATTTATGTATATTTATCCTTTTTTGGACTGGCAAGTCTTGAAAACATTTATTTTTCTTTGCGAGTATAGACCTGGAAACTTTCTATGTCAACAAGCTGAAGCAGTGAAGACATCGTCTGCAAGTCGACGTGAAGCAAAAATACTTTGAAAATAAAAACGACAAGAAATGCTACAGACTCCCAAGCGTCAAGAAAACCTTGGTTATCGCCTATTCTCTCTGTGGGTTCGTATTGGCAACAAAGGAGGAGGAACAATGTGACGATGACTCGACATCTGTTTTTTTCTTTCTTTCTTTCTTTTTTGAGAAAGAGGGATAATGGTATGGACCGAGGAATTATTTTATTCCTCTGGAATAAGATCTTTCCAACTACTGATTAAGTAAATCTCGCAGGAATTACATATATGAATATACAAGTATTTCCGATTGTTTTGGAAGCGAATGGCAACTATGCGATGGTGCGGTTCACTGCAAGACTGATTCCCGTGACTTTCCGACTGCCTCCGATACATATTTTTCCTCGGGATCTGCACAGATGTAACGTCGAGGCTTGGCGACACCCTGCACGACTTAATCACTGCTTTGTATGTAAATGAGAGACTCAGGTTCCCAGGCGCTTGTGAGTACGAAGATCAAGACGCGAAGCCGCCAAGCTCTGTTTAAAATCTGTGTCTGCTTTGCCCCGTAGGATGGCTGGAGCCCCTGCTCGACAGGATAGCCAGAGACCCTTCCAATGTCGTAACGCCCGACATAAACATTATAAGCGATAGCACATTCCAGTTCGTCTATGAGAAAAACGCCCAGGCCGTTGGCGGATTTGACTGGGGACTGCAGGTACGTCTGTGTGGCCGCTTGAGTGGGCCGTGTTCTGTGGCGTCGCGTAGTCCTTCGTGTGGGACGTCTCTGCCCCTTTGGATGATCACGCTGGTGTTGGCGCTTCGGATCGTTTGGCTTTGAGGAACTTTCCGGGGAATCCCTCTCCTAAACACCCCTCGGAAGGTCGATGACGTGTGGACCTTCTCACGAGCCCTGATCTGCTCCACGGCCAGGGTCCTCCGCGAGGCGGGTCCTGGTCGCTGATTTTACCTCGTGCTCCCGGGATAACCGGTGAAGTACCTGTTTAGTTTTGTATCTTCGGGGGGGCAAGATTGTGTTGTCGGATGTGTAGCTAGTGGTAGCAAATGACCAAATGATTATTAACTGCTATCATTAACAATGATTATCTTGCCAGATTATTGTGTTAAATGAGAAACAATTATTAAAATCACTGAAGAGGTGGTCCTGTTCGACTGCTTCTGAATCGTTTTCATAAAAAGATCCAGCCCAGAAGACAGCTAAGTAAGTTACAGACGATTGCAGTGGATTTCTCAGTACCAATTAACTATCAGATCGGGACTGAAAGTGTGACTGTTGTACGATTAACTTTGAAAGGGCTCCCGTTATGCAAGTTTTATTTTTACAAACGTTGACAAGATTATTGTTACAATTTTGTCATTATTATCTGATACATTATTACTTCTTCCATACATGTGTGTATACTGCATATACGTACCCAGGTACATGTATGCGCGTATATATCACCCCCCTAGAGTGTGTGGGTACTTGTGACTAACCCGGTTACCCTTGCGGCGCTGCGGCCCAGGTAAGCCCCAGTGAGCCCCCGTGTTGAAGAGTCCTTGTCGCAGGTTGGCTGGAGCCCCTCCTGGACCGCATCGCGCGCGACCCCGCCAATGTCGTGTGCCCGGTCATCGACGTGATAAGCGACGACAGCTTCCAGGCGAGGCTGTCGAAGGCGCGGGACGTCCAGGTCGGAGGATTCAACTGGGGGCTCATTGTACGATATCGCCGACGTTCATTCTGGTTCTGAGATACACTGACACACACACTGTTCAAGCGTTGATGGTTCTAGTTCATGAGACGTGTATATGGGCTGAAAACATGCTAAATCATCAAGCCTATATATCACGCTTGACATCATGAATACTTTCTTGTAGATGCTTTAAAATATAAAATGCTTGCCACACCTAAAATGTTACCATAAACGGCATGGGGAGTGACGTATGTTGTATATCTTGACTTTGTAGATTTGTAGGGAAAACTGGAGTAGGAATTAACATTGCAACTTGTAGCGTTTATTCCTTTCGGTGTACACGTTGGGCTCTGAGAATTTTGAAGGATTTGAAGACCGCCCAGAATTTGTGTGTGTATTTAATTCTGTGTTCCAATAGATGTGAGTGATATGTTCTTTTTTTTAAGTTTGCACATTGTTCATGCCAAGTTGCGCAGAAATGTGCCTTGTACGAACCGCTCACTGTGTCGAGTTTGTTTTGAAGTGTCACTGTTTGGACCTAAAAGGTGCTTTTGTGTACGTGCTGTATATTTGTCCTTTTATACGAGAAGGAAGCTGTATTATACAAAAAAAAAAAAACGGCAGTCTCTTTGTGACTTTTTAGATACAAAAAACGAACGATTTCAGCGAATAAACAGGTAACCTCTGCGAGTCTTCCTTCCCGAATGCACAGGGATTCAGGCTGTTGTGCAATTGCTCAAGTTCCTTCGTATTTAGTGTCCCAGTCAAGTGTATTCCATCATCCTCTAGGTTTTACGACTCCCCTCTCCCCCTCAATCCCCTCCCCCACCCCCACACCCCATCACCCACCCCTTGATTTATGACCAAGCCTGGGCGAAGCCTGACAGCGTCCGTGAATATTTAAGATGTTGTAATGATGGTCATTGCATTTATCTTGATGCTTCCGGCGGGCCTGGGCCTCCGTCCCATCTCCAAAATACTGTAGAAAAGCTCCTGCGAGATTGTGAGAACATCCTTCTGCGGCGCCTTTAAAAAGATAGCTTTTTTTGTCTTTTCGAATAGCCCTTCGGGTCAGCCATCGACGCTCCTTGAAGAGAAAGCTCTTCTGTCCTTAAGTGACAAGATCCTTCCTTCGTCAAAAGGGTTTCTTTCTTCCTTCGAGAATATCCTCCCTCGACGCTTGCCTCACCCCCACCCCACCCCCGCACCTCGGTAAAAGGAAGTTTTCTTTATCCTTCCGGAGATACTCCTCCCCCCGAAACCCCCAGAGAAAAAAGAAAAAAATCCTGTGATAATACCTCCCCCCTCCCCCATCTAACCCCCTCCCCCCAAAAAAAAAGAATCCCAGCTAACTACCCCCCCCCTCCCCCCTCGGGCGTGACCACCCTCCTCCACCTGGCCCTTCTCGCCGTAGGTTGGCTGGAGCCGCTCTTAGACCGCATTGGGCGCAATTGGACGTCCGCGGTCACGCCCGTAATAGACGTGATCAGCGACGACACGCTGGAGTACACGTATTCGTCGTTCGTGGCGGTGGGAGGCTTTGATTGGAATCTGCAGGTAGCCGGACGGCAGGTGGCCCCCCCTTCTCCGCATGAGCCAGCCGGTGCCTCGGAGGGCCGGCTCGAACGGCCTCGAGGTCACGCGGCGATGCTAGCTAAGACGCACCCGTGCCTAGTTACCAGTCAATTTGTGGTTTTATGTCCAATTCCTCATTAGTATCTGACTGGAAGTCCGCATGAAGTAAACCATAGGTAGTTTTTTTATATATATGATATTTTTAGTTATATATATTTTTATTGTTTATTTGGTTGTCGTGTTTCTTTAGATCGACGTGAGACTTGCTGCCACTTCGGTCGACGGGCACGCTAGGTGCTGCGTCGCTGTGCGCCCGGGCTCGGATTTGCTGATTTCCGCGCGTGCACACACACACACACACACACACACACACACACACACACCACACACACACACACACACACACACTCTCTCTCTCTCTCTCTCTCTCTCTCTCTCTCTCTCTCTCTCTCTCTCTCTCTCTCTCTCTCTCTCTCTCTCTCTCTCTCTCTCTCTCTCTCTCTCTCTCTCTTGATCTCTTCCCACTTACACTCATCTGACACACACACACACACAAGCACAAAAATGCGCGCATTTATATTCAAATCAGTATAATCTGAGTGACTGACCACTATCAGCCTTTTTTAATTGTTTCCATTTTTGTTTGTAATCGACTTATTTTGTTGTTTGGATGTAATGCAAGAAAGTAAACCAATTTGTTCCGTTTATTTGTACAGCTTCCGTTCAAGCGATTTTGAGTAAAAAGTTATGGTGTGTTATTTTTTTTATTGTTTCTTGTTGTGTTGTGATGCCCCATGATTTGTGCCTCATAGATTTATGGTCGGGATTTGCATGCCTCTTTCCTCACACACCTCTGATCATAACTGCATGAGCTTTTCCCATTCACAGCCATCTCTCGCTTCTGAAATGTAGCACTTTGTATTTTTTGCAGTAATTTTGTATGATTCGCACATTATCGTAGCATTTGCCCATGAGTTTATGTGCAGTTAGTATTGTGCTATAATTGCAGGTCATGATATATATTGCAGATGCTTTGTATATACTTTTGTCCCGCAGAGTAAGAGATATTGCATAGTTCTGCCATTAGCCATGATAGTTGCAGCTATTTAAAGTAAACAGAACAAGAGAAAATTGAGATTAGATTACAAGTGCAAGTAGAGTAAAGTAGCATCCATTGACTTACAAAGTACCCCTTCATCACGAAGTTATTTCGCCAGGGATTCCACTTTTTTTGACCTCCCCACCAACCACACTCGGCCGTGACTAATCCCCCGCCCTTTTGCGCAGTTCAACTGGCACGCCATCCCGCAACGGGAGCGCGCCCGCCACCAGCACCCCGCCGAGCCCGTGCAGTCGCCCACCATGGCGGGCGGTCTCTTCGCCATCGACAAGGCCTTCTTCGAGCGCCTCGGGACCTACGACTCCGGCTTCGACATCTGGGGCGGCGAGAACCTCGAGCTCTCCTTCAAGGTCGGGGCTTCGCAGGAGGGTCTCGTTTCTTTCTTTCTTGTTGCTTTGGATTGGTTTCATTTTCATGATTTTTTCACTGATTTTTGTGTATTTGTTAACGGAATTTTCCATTTTTAGTTTTCTTTGAGTATCGTTTTTTTCTTTCGTACAAATATTTTTTTTTAATAATTTTCCGACTTATGCTCTACTATACTCTTTTTCTGGTAAATTCTGAATTTACATTTATTTTTTATTTCTTGGTAAAATTCAGGTTTTAGCCAAAAATCTAAACGCATAAAATGTCGGATTTGAAAAAATAATAGATTTAGATTTTTTTCACTTAATAATGAATTTTCTGCACATTTTATTCCATATTCAGATTATTTCGGCTAAAGAAGTACATTTGTGTTAGAATGAAAACGTAAATGGAGTAATGGATGAATGAGTGAGTAGTGATGTGTGTGTGTGTGAGCTGGAGCGCGTGCGTTCATGATGGAGCGTGTGCGTGTGTGTGCTTGGCGTGTATTCATGTTGGTGTGTGTGCCTGTCCGCTTGCATTCCACACGCACACACACTATCTCTCGAAGTCCTCCTCCCCAACCCATCCATAACCCCCACCCCCCTCCCCCAGACGTGGATGTGCGGGGGCACCCTGGAGATCGTGCCGTGCTCCCACGTGGGCCACATCTTCCGCAAGCGCTCCCCCTACAAGTGGCGCTCGGGAGTCAACGTTCTCAAGAGGAACTCCATCCGCCTGGCCGAGGTCTGGCTCGACGAGTACAAGAAGTACTACTACGAGAGGATCGGCTACGACCTGGTGAGGTGGTTTCCCTGGTTCGGGTTGGGTCGGGAGGAGTCGGGGTCGTCGGGTCGTCGGGAGGAGTCGGTCGTCGGGTCGTCGGGTCGTCGGGTCGTCGGGTGGAGGGAGATTCCGGGGTTTGGCCCTTTGCGGGGACTGGGCGGGGCTGAAGTGTGTCTGTTCATTTGTTATGCATTCATGAGAGAAGTAATTTCATTCATATACGTTTACAGAGTCTGTATAGGTGATTGTATAGATAGATAGATAAATAAATAGATATATATGGATAGATAGATAGATAGATAGATATATATATATATATATATATATATATATATATTATATATATATATTATATATATATATATATTATCTTAATGCCACACACCCACTCACTCACTCTCTCACTCACTCACTCACTCACTCACTCACTCACTCACTCACTCACTCACTCACTCACTCACTCACTCACTCACTCCACTCACTCACCCACATCCATCCATCCATCCATCCATCCATCCATCCATCCATCCATCCATCCATCCATCCATCCACATCCACACCCTCCACACCCTCCACACCCTCCACACCCTCCTCCTATCCCCACCCACCTACTCATTCTCTCACTCCACGATGCCTTTGACCCTCGCTCTCCCATGCCCCCCCCCCCCCACTTACGGCCGACCCCTTCCCCAGGGCGACTTCGGCGACGTGAGCGAGCGGAAGAAGCTGCGGGACGACCTGGGCTGCAAGTCGTTCAAGTGGTACCTGGAGAACGTCTACCCGGAGCTGTTCGTGCCCGGAGATGCCGTTGCTTCGGGAGAGGTAAGGCCCGCTTGTCTGTTCATCTGTCTAGGCGTCGGGGATCCGTGCGAATTTTGTTTATTTATTTATCCTTTTTTTTGTCAAGAATTCATTGTTGTTTCATGTTGATATATATATATATATATTTGTGGACATTTTGTGACTTGGTCTTATATTATTGGAGAATACTGTGTTTTTTTTATTTCATGAGTTCATTACTTTGCACTGATCTTTTTTCACAAGTTTGTTTTGTCATGTAGATCACAATATATTTTTTTTGCACATTATGGAGGAAATCAAATGTTTCTTGTTGGATTTAGTATTAGAAGTATGATAATTCAGATTTACAGTAGTTGTAAGAGGTATAACTATAATTTTTAAGGAATGTCTTCCAAAATATTTTACTTCAGAGAGCACCAAAAAGATTTTAAAACCATTCATATTGACCATTGTCAGTATTAATTCTCTCAAAATCCTTAACATCATTACGTCAGTTCCTATTCTGTTATATTCAATGCATTATTGTATATAATGAAACATATGTACATATAACAAGGACTGAAACTAGAATTGACTGACAATGTACTACTACTACTTGTGGAAATTTCCTATATGAGGTTGATATATCTAGACACATGTATATATGTATAGATATGAATGCATGTATATATATATATATATATATATATATATATATATATATATATATATATATATATATATATATATATATATATATATATATATATATATATTATATTCAAGTATATGCATATTCTTATTTGTACAACACACACACACACACACACACACACACACACACACACACACACACACACACACACACACACACACACACACACACACACACACACACACACACACACACACACACACACACATATATATATTATGTATATATGTATATATATGTATATTATGTATGTATATATGTATATGTATATGTATATATATGTATATGTATGTATACATATGTATATATATACATATATATATACATACACACACACACACACACACACACACACACCACACACACACACACACACACAACACACACACACACACCACACACACACACACATATATATATATATATATATATATATATATATATATATATATATATATATATATATACTATATATATATATATATATATACATATATAATATATATATATATATATATATATATATATATATATATACTATATATATATATATATATACTAATATATACATATTATATATATATGTATATATATGTATATATATATATATATATATATATATATGTATAATATTGTAATATACATATGTAATATACATATGTATATAAATGTATATTAACATAGTATATAGTGCACTATATGTGGTATATATATGTCATTATGTGTATATATATGTATATTATGTATATATGTGTATATATATTTGTTATATGTATGTATATATATGTATAGTATGTATATATATGTATAATGTATGTATATGTATGTATATATTATGTATATATGTATGTTAATATATATGTATATATATGTAAATATATGTATGTATATATATGGGGTTATATGTATATGTATATATATGTATATATATGTATATATATATATTATATTTATATATATAATGTATATATATATATATATACTATATATATACATATTTATATGTATAATATATATATGTATATATATATGTATACTATATATGTATGTATATATATGTATATTATGTTAATATATGTATATATAACTATATATGTATATATATGTATATATATTATACTTGATGCTATGTATTGCTATATGTATATATATGTATGTATATTATCAATATGTATATATATGTATATCATATATATCTTAATTGCTATATATATTGTTATAATATATGTCATGTATATATATGTACCCTGTAATATATATGTCTCTATATATCGTATATGTTTATATATGTATCACTAATTACACTGTATATTATATGCTATATATATATTATATATGTACTATATATATGTATATTATTCTTGTATGTATATGATCATGTAATATATATATATATGTATATATACTATGTTACTGTATTCACTTATCTCATTGTTATATTATACGTATATTTGATATACTATGTATATATAATGCTTTAATGTATAGGCTTAGTTAATTCGTATACTCTGGTTTGATATATTGTATACTGGTCTTATACTCTATATATATGTAATATAGTGTAATCACTCTATAATATGTTCATATATATGTTATACTGTATATATGTATACTCTGTATATATATGTATATCTTCATGTGTACATATGTATATTACTATTCATAATCACTATATATATATATATATGTATCTATTCTATATATATGTATATATATATGTATATATATGTATGTATGTATATATATATATATGTATATATATGTATGTATATATATGTATATATATGTATGTATATATATGTATATATATGTATATGTTTATATATGTATATATATGTATATATATGTATATGTATATGTATATATATATATATGTATATATGTGTACATATGTATATATATATATATATATATATATATATATATTATATATATATGTATATATCTAGTGTATAGTATACAGTATGTAAATGCATTATTATATTATATATATTTATGATTTTTCATGAGAAGAGAAAATATGACATTTATCACATTCACATTTATCACACTTCCATGTGCTAATATGAAATAATGACTAAGAGAAGTTATCTTCATTAATTTGAAGGCAAAGATGAATTTTAAAAATCATAATGTACCTTTTTTCAAAGGCAATCATTCATGTGTAAAGGTTTTCCGACAGTATTTGATATCACGAACATTCTTGCCCATGACCAAATTATAGAATTTCTTAACAATGTTGACATGTTATTTTTGAGACAAGAAAAGGATCTTTGAAATTGCAATGTTTACCAGATTCATTGCATTGATGTGATATTTTGTTCACCTCCGCTCTCATTCAGTATCATAAATGAGCCATTACTTGCTGAGGTTGTATAAGCCAGCGAACGCTTATTGACGTTGGATAATTTCTCCAGTTAATTTCTTCATGTTTTGCCAGTGTCTCTTTTACATCTTTCATTATGCTTTTAATACTGTCTTTAGTTCTTTGATGAAGCTATAAAGACACTACAATATCCAGACAAGACTGCAAGAAGTCCTTTTCTCTCTTGAAGACTAGCTTTCATGTATATTAATATGCTGACATTTATTACAACTTTTAAGCTTACGTGTTGAAATATTTTTCTCTTCTTCCACATATTTTCATATTCATGTTTGTTTTGGACTCCTCCTGAATAGAAAATAATATACAGGAGCTATTAAAATGAGCTTAGTTGTACAAACATTCAGGGAGAAATAGTGTCTTTGAACATAATTCTATGATGGTCTAATTATGCAAATTTATTTCTCATCACTTTGAGAATTTGTTAGTATGTGGCCCTCAAGACTTGCTTGGTTTTAAGTGAAATTTACTTTTTTATACACTTTTTTATCACAGACTTTTTATTTATGCAAGATGATCACATAATTTTCACTTGCTTTTGCCTTTGGAAAGTAATCTATCTTTTCTCACTTTTTTTCTTTTTAGTGAATTTATTTGTGGAGTTTGCTCTTATTTCTGTAATTTTCTTTCACTTGTCCATATATTCTTTTCGCCCCTATAAGAGTGATTTATATGTGAACTACAGTGTGAAATAAACCAAGTTTTTGACCAAATGGTGTATCAACCTCATAACCAGTTCCACAAGTGTTGCATGTGACTGCAGACGTTTGGTGTGGTGATGGGCTGACAAACTGGCTTTTAACACTTGTGGGGTTTTTAGCGCACAATGCTTTCCTCTCATACTCGACAATAGACCTTTTCTCACATGCTAACTCTTCATAAAGTCTGGAGAACAATTACCTTTCTTTTACTACATCAGTGAAGATTCAACAGAGAAGATTACCCACTATGACAGATGTGAAAAATGCAGTTCCTTCTTTCCCTGAATAGAGTCCGTGTCCCATTAAGGGTAACAGGACTCTGTGACTTTTTTCCAAGACTGCAGTCAGAATAATTTGCATCTTACTGCTAGCTGATTTTATGAAAAGTGTAAAAATTGATAATTAAAATGCACTGATTAACAATTCACCTGTAAAGATTTTTAATAGGATTTAGAAATACAAGTGTTTATGATGTCAGGTCTTACAGATGTATAAAGAGTTTTAATGTTAAACATCTGTAAATGGAAATTGCTTGGTATTTGATGTTGATTAATGTGATTTAGACAGAAAGGGAAAGGGTATGTATAAATGTGTGTGTGTGTGTGTGTGTGTGTGTGAATCCATTTATTTATGTTCTATATTTTTAGATGTGTGATGCTGAAAGTGTTGGAAATACAGCATTGTAATATATAGAGATGGATTGACTCATTAAATGGGATTATTTGAATTACTGATTAGCATGATAAAATCCTTCACAATGGAATATATTTGCTATGGATTTTCAAACGATCTTACATTACTTGTCAGTGAATGTCAACAGACAATTGAAATAAATTTTTGTAAGAATGCCTGTGTATGTGTATAGGTGTGTGTGTTCTGTATTATGTTCCTAGGTGTATCTAAATGAGAATGTTGACTTACGTGGGTTACTTATAATTAATATACAGTTATATAAGGTTTACATTTGATTAAAATCTCACAATAGTCAGGAAATGGCATTATACAAAAACCTGTATGTATATCATATGATGTAGGAGATCTTCCCCAGTCAAAATTGATATAAAGATATTAAAACCCAATTAGCAACTGAGCTAGATGAGGCTGTTGCAAATTATTATTTGGTGATAAAAAGTCTTTTTACAGTTAAAAAACATATTTGAGAAAAGCATCTAAACTGAAAATTTGAAAGAGAGGATAAAGAGGAAATCTGATGGACAGTAGACTTGATAGTTTTGACAAACATGAATTTAGAACTAGAGTTTGCCCCATACAAAAAAAAAAGAGAGAGAAAGAAAAGAATCAAGATATTCAAATCTAATTTCATGATGTCTGGATACTTTGTGGAGACTATTGATATCCGCTGATATCAATATCTTCCACACAAAGATGCCCAAACCCATTAACGCAAGCCTCAGACACAGACGTCATTAAGGGTTTAACGAACTGATTGGGCTTCAATATTGCCCCTTGGCCATGTCCTTGCTAACAGGTTCGCAACTTGGGTGCTGGCGGGTCTACTTGCCTCGACTCCCCTGCACGCAGGGCTAATTTACACAAAGCTGTGGGCCTCTACCCTTGTCATAAGCAAGGGGGTAATCAGGTAATCTAGTAGGGCAAGCCACTAGTTGTTCTAGTATCCCATCTGTTTACTGTACAAGGTCTAGGTTAGGCAGCATCAGAAGGATCAGCCAGAGGAGATGATGGCAGACAACAGTGGAAGGTTTGCATGTGCTTTAAAGCTTGCTGGCAATTAGTGTGGACTTTGCTTGCTGTTGAATGTCAAGACTCTTAATTTCTCCTGGAGTTTTGTTCCTTTTCCATTCCTTTGGTTAAGGTCTAGCATGGCATGATAATTTTTTTTCTTTCTTTTTTTTTCCTTTTTTTATTGCTTTTCATGTATAAGTATTCCCCCAGTGTATATGTAAATTTGAAAGTACACTTTGTAAGGATGGGAATGTGTGCCCCAGTCTATAGCTCATGTGTTTATTTTTTATTTCTGTATCACTGGTTGATTATCTGTTCCATCAGTATTTCAAACAAAAAAAACATTTAAGGATATTTAATTGAAAAAATCTTATGTATTTGGAATTGATTCAACTATTTTAAGAAGTGCTTATTTCAATGTTTATTGTTATTATTATTTTTTTTTTTTTACATGAAGTTACAGCAGTCTACTTTCACAAGAGATCATTGATTTTCAATCTTTTCTTAACTATACATATTACTCTATTACATTACTCATACCCATTGATCTCTCCCATGTTTCAAGGTTAATTTGTGCTTTCTCTGTATATTTCTCATCACTATTGTCTCACCATTGCAAATTATACTTATTTGCAATATATATACTTTTTGTCCCCTTAACCCCTCCCCTGTAGGGAAAAAAATGATTTCATGTCTTGCTTTGCCTGCTGCTTCGTTCAGTGAGTGTTTGCACAACCCCACAGCAAAAACCAGCTGCTAACACAACTAACTGCATAGTCTGTCTCTGGCCTAAACATACGAGCAGATAGTCATTAGATCATGGGTCCACATTCCCCTGTCTCCTCCGTCTCACATCCCATTGTCTGCCCTTCTCCTGAGCCCTGCCTCTAGCATGGTGTTCGTGGCAGTAGTAGTTAGTGTTGTCTATGTGCAACAGATCCACAACATGGGCACCGGACAGTGTGTGGACTCCGCTGCCAAGCCTGACGATAACCACAAACCGGTCGGTCTCTGGCCGTGCCACGGTCAGGGCGGAAATCAGGTAAGTCTTCTTCTGGGTGCCTGAGAATTTTTACTTTTGTTTTTTCATAGGCTTTTTGAAGGTAAGTACGTCTCCCTTGTTTTGGCTTCAGTTTAGCTGCCTTTGCTGCAGGAGCTAAAGATATGCAGCTTGTGTGATTTGTTGGCATTTTTATCTTTATTTTAGCACTGTTGTATCTTAATTGTATTTAGGTATATTGTTCCTCATGAACATGTCAAGGACCCATACTTCTTCTAGTATTTTATTGTGTAATTATCATTGCAAGGACTATACTTTAATGCTTTCATGCTTTGGTTGAATATGTTGAATTGATATCTAGTTAATTTAAAAACATCCCAGGGTCAGTACATAGATCTTGTTTTGTTTTGTGAATATTTAAAGTGAGCAGAAAGAGAGAGGATAAACTTTAACGTTTCTCAAAAAGATTGATAGTTTTCACATAATACTGATAGTTTTTCTGATGTCGTTTACTTTTAATGAGTTTTCTGATTTTCTGATACCATTTCAATCAGTTTTAGCAAGTCTGTTTTTCAAATTAAACAATTACATAAAAAGGAAGCCATTGATAGCAGATTGTTTTTAAATTAGAAGTTGTTAAAGTAGTCCAGCTGGCAAAAAGAATGAAATATAGAGATCATTATTGCATAAGTAATTACAGATTGAAGAATATTTCAATTAGTATCAACTTGTAACAGTCCACCATTCTTTTTGCTCTGCGATGTAATGTACTTTGTTAATCATAGAAAAACAGAATGATTTATACAGTCTTATGTGAATAAAAGGGTGAATTATTTTTTTTTAGCTTAGACTATAGAGTATTTGCTATTATTTGTTCTATATATGAATAAAAGATTTCTACGGTCATAGGTGGGTTAATACTTGGTTGCTGCATGAATTTAAAGTTTTCCTTTAGTGAACTCTTACAGTATTTAAAATTGAAATCACCTACAATTGTGTCCTTTAATGAAATCTGCTTTTCAGAATCTTTTTCTGTTTTTGTTATTGTGCATAACTAATACATTCAAGACAGAATATAGATTTACATTTCAAATAGGACATCTAATGCATATATCCCTGTCTTTAATGAATATATAGTTTTTATATTATATAGACACTTAAAGATTTGAACATTATTACCATTAAAATTCCTTAGTGATGATTCTTTGACCTTTTCTGACTTTTATATTCTTTTTCATGATTAGTATTGGATGTTGAGCAAGGAAGGAGAGATCAGGCGTGATGAAGCATGCATGGATTACGCTGGTGCTGATGTGATCCTATATCCATGCCATGGATCAAAGGGAAACCAATACTGGGAGTACAACCCAGAGGTATGTGTGAGTCTTGTGTATTTATTATATAATGTTCTTATATAGGAAAAGGGAGAGAGGAAAATAGGAACCTCACAGTTAAACCAGTCATTGGAGTTCAACACAGAAGTATTTGAGAGTCTGTTATACTTGTTGGATGTTCTTGTAAGGTAATACGGAAGGGAGGGAGAGTAGGGGAGAACTCAGAAGTAAACCAGTTCTGAGGTTACACCGTAAATTGGGTTTTGGTATACCTAAATATGGATTTTTTTCCTGTTGGAATGAGAGAGCACGAGTAGATACAAATATGTATGTAATGATTATGTTAGAAATATAAGACAGTACATAGTGTTTTCTTTAGTAAACATTAAAATGTGTTTCTTTTTAGGGATTATTTATTGGAAAGCATTGCCTAATCACTTCAGGAATACAGCTGATTCTATGTTTCTTCATTTTTTTGTGCCTTTAATGTTAAAGCTTCTGTTAAACAAGTACTATTTGTTCCTGTCCACTTGATTTTGCATTTATGTGTATATTACTTGTATTTTCTTTTAATAGAGAACTATTTCTTTCAGTCAAGTCGCATCATGCATGGCAGCAGCAAGAAGTGTCTTGCTATTTCTCAAGACCGGAAGAAACTCGTAATGGAAGACTGCAATTTAGAAGAATCAAGACAAAAGTGGAAGTTTGAAAATTATGATCCAAGCAAAAAACTATGAAAACAGATCAAATATTAAATAAATATTTGTTTTGTTTATATATTTTTTCAAGTGCCTGTGTATTGATTTTCAGTAGTATGCTGAAGAATGGGAAAGAGTTTCAAGTTGAATTATTTAACAGTGAATTTAGGTAAAATTTTTTGGATGAGCCAAACTTCAAATTCTTTCTCTGCAATTGGTCATCTTTGTCGTACTCTCTTGATTTCGCTAAGAAATTTTTATGGTGGTTAAATCACCCGCAAAGATATGCAGACCACTTGGTTCCCCATCTGCACGAAGGCTATAGGAAAGTTCACCGTGAACTAAGGTTTCAGAATCAGTGATCGCTGCGCATGTCTTCTGCCACACTGTTGCTCTAGCTCGTAAAGGTTGTGACCTTGAGGATCTTCCTTTAGCTTTTTATTCTACAGCTGGTCACTAAGACTCAAAATAAGAATTTAAAAAAATAAAAAATAAAAAATAAAAAAATGGTAATTTCGTGTTGCAAGAAACAGGGATTTTTTTTCTGATAGCAGCCCATGTTTCTGGTGAGATTATTTTTCTACTAATTGCACTTCTGATGTTCATTTGAAAGCAAAGGCAGTTCATAACACAATGCTACATGTTTTGTACTGCTTTAATCAGAAAAACTTTCTTGTGATTAGTGTATTCATGAAGACCATCAAATGTTGCAAGAGGTTTAACTTTGTGTGATGCAACAATAGGAATCAAGAGGTAACTTGTAAAAGGAAATCTGAGTGTCAGCTCAGAAGTGGCCAGAAATAGATACTGAAAACTATTTAAAGTTAAATTCCATGAGAAGTTGCATTATTGGTTTTGGTTTGTGAGATATTGATATGATAAATTTTAGTGGGGATGTTAAAAAAATGTTGCAGCTTGATTTAGTATCAGTGATACAGCGTATGGAGAAGTGTGAAGCTGTTTTGAGACTGTTGAGCCAATGTACCAGTGAAGTGGTAGGTGGACATGAACAAGTGTGCCTCTGTTAACTGTGCCAGAAATAAGAATTGCAGTTTGTGATTAGAAGTTGGTGACATACTTCTTATTAGTGGCAGGATTCAGAATACTGGATATCCAGTATGAAATTTGATGATTGAAAATGATTCACAATTGCAAATTATGTTCTGAAATAGCAAAACGTAGGACCAATCTGTAATATTATATAGTGTGTGAAGAGTGACTCTGTGTGTTTACCAGTCTAAGATATTTCAGATTATCTTATCCAGAATAGTGTATTACCTCATGTTAATTTTGTTTTTTCTTGACTTCAGTACTGGTTACTGTAGTTTGAGTACCTTCTCCATATTGNCGTGTGTTCACCTTTCATATCCCTTGGTTCGCTTCTCTGGCGCGCGCTGTTGTTTTGCGAGTTTTCCACTATATACATCCTTTTTTCATAGGAGGGGAGGTGTTGGGATTGGGTTGTGGGGGGCCGGGGTAAGAGGTTTTGGCCGGAGCGTGGGTGGATCTGGTGGGTGGAGGGGGGGGTTCAGGATTTTTCTTCATCCTTTTCCTTCGTCTTTCCCTTTTATTGTCATTTTCCCTCATCCCTTTCGCTTGCCAAGCTTTGCGCGTGTTTTTTTGTCAGTTTTCCTAGAGGGAGGAGAGATAATTGGCAGAATGGTTTCTGTATTGTGGCGCTTTTTTCAATACGCGGGTTTTTTTCGCTTCTCTTCCCCTTGTGGGTAATGGAGTGGGCCTTGCGAGGTTATGGAGGAGAGGATGGGATGGGCGGCCTTTGGTGGGCCTTATCTCAGGGATAATGGTCTTTTTTCCTTTGCCTTTTACTTGTCTTTTCGCGCGCCGGGGTGGTTGTTATGTCAGTTTGTCACATTTCATTCCCTTTGTTCCTTACTCTTTCGCCTTTTTCGTTATCGAGTTTGCCGTGCGCGATCGGCCCTTTTGTCTTCTCGCTGTTCCGCTTTGTTTGTCGGGTGGGTATTGTCGCGTGTGTTTGAGGCTGCCGGTTTCCTTGGGTCTCTTTGGTCCTTTTTTTTCATTTTCCTTCATAGCCGCGCTGTGCGCGCGTCTCTTTCCCGCTTTTTTCTTAGTCGTTTCCTTCCATCTTTTCCCTTAATCTTTCCCTTTTTTTCATTTTCCTTCATCCCTTTTCCTTCTCTTTCCCTTTTTTTCCATTTTCCGTTCATCCCTTTTCCTTCCTCTCTTACCTTTTTTCATTTTTCCTTCGAGGGGAAGGAAGAGATATTGGCGGGGTTTTTTCCTATTCTGCTCGCTTTTTTTCTTCCATTTTCCTTCTCTTTCCCCTTTTTTCGTTTTTCCTTATCCCTTTTTGTCCTTCCTCTTTCCCCTTTTTCCTTCGAGGGAGGAGAGATATTGGCGGTTTCCCTATTCTCCGCTTTTAGTTACTCTCTCTTTTTCCTTCTCTTTCCCTTTTTTTTCGTTTTCCTTCATCCCTTTTCCTTCTCTTTCCCTTTTTTCATTCGAGGGGAGTTAAGAGATATTGGCGGGTTTCCCTATTCTGCTTTTTTCTCTCGCTCTTTCCTTAATCTTTCCCTTTTTTCGATTTCTTTTTTCTTCGAGGGAGGGAGAGATATTGATGATGTTTATGGGACGGAAGATGGAGAGAGAGGAGGAGGGAAAGACAGAGATGGACGGGGGGAAAAAAAGGAAACCAGGTAGGTTGATTCCTAGATGATTTAGAAGCGGGAAGCAGGTAGAGACTGATAAACAAAGAGATAAAGTGGACAGATATTTATAAAAGATATAAAGATGTATGCATATACATGTGTGTAAGTGTGCGCGTAAAGTGTGTGTATGTAATGCATGTGTGGTGTGTGTGTGGTATATATTATTATATATATATATATAATATATATACTATAATAAAAATATATATATATATAATATATTATATAATATATATAATATATATATAACTATTATATATAATTATATATACACACACAACACACACACACACACACATATATATATTTAATATATATATATATTATATATATATATATATATAGTATTATATATATATATATATATATAATATATATAGCATAACATACATACATATATAATATATATATATATATATATATAAATATATATATATAATATATATATATATATATATATATATATATATTATTTAATTTATTTATTTATGTATGTATTTATGTATGTATGTATGTATGTATGTATATTCATATATACATGAGAGAAATAAAAAGCGAGAGAGAGTGCTTGGTTCAGGAAGGAAAAATCTGGTTCAGTCAATCTTGCATAATTCATCTTTCCAACGGAACGACAAGAAATATCACTCTGATCAAAGAAAAATCAAGTTTATTAAAAACTCAGATTACACACCGACCGATGTTTCCACTTAATGTTGTTTAGACTTTTTTCCTTCTCTGAATTTTGAAGAGGAGAAAAGTATTAGGAATTATTTATCAGCTGTTTTCCAGCGGGTAAGACATCTCTCATATAATGTTAATTCCGAGGGATAAAAAAAATATCCGGCTTTACATGTGCGTACAGCTGAAAACATTGTCTCTCTCAGCTGTGTGTGTTTCTGTGTATGTCTACGTGGGCGTCTTTGTGTGGATATGAGTGTGTACTTGTGCATTAATTATCAGGTGTCTGTTACAAACAGATACAGAAATATATACAATCAAACACACACATACGCGTGCTCGCACACAAATAAAGTGAAAGAGAAAGGAAGATAGAGAGAGAGAGAGAGAGAGCAGTGACGATGAGAAGTCGCGGAGACAAGGGAAAAAGAGGGAGAGAAACGAGAATGAAAGATGATAGAAAAGCAAAGACCGGAAGGGAGAACTGTGAAAACAAACGAGATCCAGAAAGCTTGGGTGAAATGGTCTCGAGAAATTGCTGACCGCAACAATTTCGGGATCTAACCTCCTCATCTACGTCGGATCTGTAATAGCGCTAATAACGAAACCGCCTCCTTCACCGCAAATCTGGCAGCATCGAGAAGAGCAAGTCGGCATAGGGGTCTTGGCTCTTCGAGCCGAGCACGTCCGGGCTTCAGTGTCAAACCATGGCTGCTCCGATTGAGTGCCCATACTTGAACTCTCGGGTCGGTATGGGGTGTCGTGAGGTGCATACGCCAGACACCATGTGCTGCGCGGGGGTAAACTAACACGCTATGATCGGTGGAGGGGGAGGGTTCTGAACAGGTCTGTCGGAAGAGTTGCCGTACGAAAACAATCACTCATGTTGCGAGAAACCGAGGAATTTGGGGCTGAGGCGTAGATGCTAAAGCGTGAGAAAGAGCACGAGGCCGACAGCTAAAATCGATAAAGTTGAGACCCGAGGAACCGTGAGGTCGGATCCGGAGAGATAGAGTGCGAGACCCTGGTCGAAACAACGCCACGACTGGCGTTTATAGGGACGCAGGTTGAAGGACTCTACTGCTCCACTGTTTTACGTTTCTTGGAGATTCCACACTGTAGCTTCGATCGCAGTGGAGCGAGAAGAGATGAGAGCATAGACGAGAAGAACTTGGTTGCGGAGAATAGACGCAGAAAAAAAAGAGATGAAAATATATCGTGTGATGTGTATGAGAGACAGCCATAGAAAGATAGCCAGAGACAGCATGGATAGGTAGACACCGAATAGAAAAGAGAGAGGGGAGCAGGAGAGAACAAAAGAGCGAACAACCAATTGAAGACAAAGACAAAAAAAAAAAGCAGAGATGACCAGAATTCAGACAGAGTGCGAGCCTGGTATGCACACAGTCCGCGTCCTCTGGACTGGATTCCTGCAACAGTGAAGTTAAATCTAACCTCTTTCGCCTGAGATAGGTTGGGATGGGGGGGAAACTACAGACTGTTAAGATCTTGTCGAGCAAGGCGAAAGATCATTGGGCATTTCCTATGGCGGGCATCTCATCTCTTTCGCGTAATCCCTGAACTACCCGAGATCATTCAGCCGACAGATCATGGGACGAAGCCTCTTAAAAAGTTTCTCGTTTAGTTGCCTGGCCGTGTGCCTGTCGGCCTGTTATGCTTTGCTTGCTCGATCATTAAACAGACTAGAACCG